TAACTTTTGAGCAGCCTCATCGTGTAACTCAGTCTGACCCGGAACCCTCCCTTCTTCTGCTTTAGCCTTCTTCTAATGAGTCCACCACAGCACAGCCTAGGAGGCTGTACTTGTCCCTCTGTCACCACATCTGGACCAAGCACCTTCTTCTGAACGGTAGGGACATATGTGCCCCACAGCAGAGCTACCTGGACCTTCCTGATGGATGTCACATATAACTAAGCCTCTCTAGCATCACACTGTGTGCATGCCTCTCTGGCACTGTTTGCATACTTCTCTCTGGCCCCACAGTTTAACCATGCCTGACTCTGGTACCTACAGTTTGAGCACACCCCTCTGGCACCACATTCTGCACCACAGCTTGTACACAGTCCTCCCTCCAGCATCCAGTTTGTTTCTCACTGAGTGCCACATCTAGTAAACTGAAGTGCAAACTCTCATTTAAGAACCCCTACTTCTTTTTGAAGCAAAGTCCTGCCAGACTTCTTCGTTATTTATGTTGACTTTTCCTTCCCTGGTTTTCATCATATATCCAAGGAGTCTAGCTTCCCAAAATATCAAACCCATGGGTGCGCACCCCAGACAATCAGGGACACTGCTATCCTCCCGGGCTTCTGGATCCCCTGAAACTCAGGACATGCTTCCAAGAAAGCAGTAACATCTTATCCCTGAATCAGGTACATAGATCCTAAACTTTGTCTGATGAGCTCAGGTCCTCCTTCCTATAGAGCATGTGGAGGAAGACACTTCAGAATGTAGAGATACCTGCTAGCCATCATGGATTTTGCCAGAAATGCACATTTGGAGAGGACAGAGGCCCTAGGCCTCCATCTCTTCACTCCCAGGATCTCCAAGTAATTGGGTTATAAATGGACACTGAAGATGGTTTCTTAATCCCTCTTCAGCTTTCTATCTAGTGTGAGGTGTTCTTTGTCCCTTGTGGAGGAGAAAGTCTGAAAAGATTCTCAGAGGCCAAACTCATCTTGGTAATTTTCTTAGAAATAGAATTTTTCATTTTATTTCAGGCATTTCAGACAATGTAACCATTAGGAGTTTCTGTAGAGAACTGAGTATCATTGTCGTTTGTGATGTGTGCCCCCATCAGAGACCCCAGGGTGCCCTCTGACCCAGCACCCCCGTCATGGTCACAGGATAGAAGCCCAGAACTCCTCTTCTGCTGTGCAAGAGCCAGATCTTAGCACAATGCCCCAAGTGGCCTCTTGTCACATCATTCTGGAAGGGTATCAGTTCTCGGGTGGCAATTAATCTCCATCAAAAGCCTGTTTGGTCGCCAAGCTCTGGCAGAGAAATAAATGGAAGAACATTTCCAGCTCCTGATGGTGACTTTTATTGAGCCTTACTTGGGTTGTTATTAAGTTGTGACTATGACCCATGTTATGTCCATATAAAGGATAAGGAAATCACATACCTGTGGGTAATGACGTTACGGTTTTTAGTTTATGAACCTGTAAGTCCCACAGAAAGAATTATCAATCATGTGGCACTGTCATGACTGAAGCTTAAATTTACAACAGTAAATCACTTTTAAAATGAAACCAGACATAGAGCCCCTTCTGAGGATGCTTTGTGTGGTTTTACAAAAGTTTGAGCATGCACAAGGCATGTCCAGTGATGGCAATTTCAGACCAGAGTGCACAGATGGTTAATATCCTCTTGGCTCACAGCCCAAGCAGCCGCTACTCTATCTCCTGCACCTTTGGGTGGGTGTGATAAGAAGAGTAGCTGGCTGTTCACCCTCCAACCCTGTGGCCAGCCATATAGGGCATACAGAAGGTGAGGGGGTGGTGGCATGGGAAGTAGGGCTACAGTTCAGTCCCAGGGGACCCAGATGAAGGGATTCAGGGTGAGTGACTAAAGAAAACACTGTGTACCAGTGAGCAGGGACATGGTCTAGTTGTGACAGCCTGCAGGGAACGCAGGGAATGAAAAGGAAAAATCACTTGAAGTCAAGAGAGTGGACAAGCAATAAGACCACCAAGAAGCACAGAGTGTGGCTTCCACATTTAAGAGCAAGCAACCATGAGCATACAGGGTAGAATGTACTCTCCTGGGAGAGTTTGGAATGCTTGTTGTGTTCAAGTAATATTACAGAGACAAAGGAAGGCCAGGAATGACAAAATAGCTCAGTGGTAAAGGTGGGTTTTTTGTTGTGTTTGTTTGTTTGTTTGTTTGTTTACTATACATGACAACCTGAGTTCAATCACCTGGATCTGCATGGTAGAAGTAAAGACGTGACTCTGTAATATGTCCTTTGACAACCATGAGTCTCCCATCCTGCATGAGCATAAATGCAAGGACACACACACACACAGGGAAAGAGAGAGAGAGAGAGAGAGAGAGAGAGAGAGAGAGAAATAAAAATCTTTAAAATGAAGAGGAAAGGTCATTTGTGCAGTAAGTGCTCACATTTGTGCTCAGTTGGAAGAGCATTTGCCTAGCATGCATGACACCCTGGGTTTGATCCCCAGAACCACATAAGCCAAGGGTAATAGCACACACCTATAATTCCAGAACTCAGAGAATCAAAAGTTCAAGATTATACACAGCTGCCTAGCATGCATGACACCCTGGGTTTGATCCCCAGAACCACATAAGTCAAGGGTAATAGCACACACCTATAATTCCAGAACTCAGAGAATCAAAAGTTCAAGATTATACACAGCTGCATTTTAAGTGCGGGGCCAGCCTGCACCACATGAGATACTGTCTCAGAAGATCTTTTGGTTTTGAGAAAGATCATTTGTGGAGATGGTTCAGTGTTAAAAAGTAATTGCTACTTTTCCTAAGGACCCAAATTTAGTTTCTAGATGGGTATCTGGAATCTCACAACCACCTGTAACTCCATCTCTAGGGTATCCAGTGCCTTCATCTGGCATTCATTTTTGCACACACACACACACACACACCGAGAGAGAGAGAGAGAGACAGAGACAGAGACAGACAGAGAGAGACAGACACACAGGCACACACACTACTAGAAAGAGAAACAAATAAGCAAAGAAGAAAAGGGGAAAAGGGAAAGAAAACAGAAAACATAGAAGCTGCAAGGGAAGCAGACAAAGCCAACAGAAATGCACCTCTTGAACTGAGGCTGTGCTGGGCAGAGGTATGATGTGAAGGTAGAGGACAAAGTGCTGCTGGAAAACTGTGGGCTGAATGGGCGTGGCAATCCTACAGGAATGTCCTGCACAGGGTCTGGATTCTCACCATCTGCTATGCATTAACTGGGATGAGGTTCTTCTCGGGTCCTAAAGTGGTTCTAATACAGTTTAAGTTCAACCCTAGCTCTAATGGTTATCGTTTGCTGTGTAACAAAGTTTCCCAAATGTAGCAACTTAGAGCCAGGCAGGCCCCAGATCTGGAGCAGACCTTGAAGGCTTCCCAGCAGCCAGTATCATCAGAGGTCAGTGGGTAGAGAAGTCCTGGAGTTTGGTATGCTCCATGGGTCCTTGGCCCTCAGTTCATGCCTGGCAGCTGGTTTACTCACACTGAGAGGACAGCAAGGGACTTGTCATCTCATCTTGAAAGTAACTTCTACCATGCTTACCAAAGTCCTCTCCCTAAAGTCAGGATTAACTGAGATGAAGCAAGATGTCAGAAACAAGAATAATTTAGTCTGATGACTTTGCCCCAGCCTGGTCATAGTAACATCCCTATGTTACTATGTTCCTATAAGTCCTTCTTTGCTTTCTATAATGGCAGTTATCCTTTCTTTTTTACTTTACTTAACCATGGTTTCCGTGCAAGGTGTGAAGTAGTGCATGACTGTTGGAAGGCTCGGGGCCAGCTTGAGATATGTAGCAAGACCCTGTCTCAAAAAAAAAAAAAAAAAATGTATGGTTTCCCACAAGTTCTGTCTCCAGCTTTCTCTTCAGACCAGTATGTCTCAAAATGGCAGTCTCTTAAGACCCCCAAGATTCCTAGACACTCTCCCCTCCTGGTCTCCTGGACAAAGAGTTGGAGAGGCCAGGCAACATGAGCAGAGTCAGCACTACCCATCCAGGAGGAGATAGGTACGATCATGATCCTGCAGTATGGCTACTGGGTGGTACACCTGGGAGTTTCTATTTGTGTCTGTGGTTGAATTAATTCAACAAAAAATTGAGATTCTTGTTAATGAAACTCAGTTTATCAAAACCACAGATAACTGAGAATCAAAAACAACAAAAAACAAACAAAAACAAACAAAAACAAAAAAAACAAAAAAAGCAAAAAAGAAAAAGAAAGAAAGAAAGAAATAGTGGACTGAGTGATTACCTACCTTCCCCATGAAGTGTTATTATCCACCACGTGCAAGAAACTGAGTGGGAATAGCCAGCCTGATCTCTCATCAATATTGGACCAGCCATTTACCTGCCAGATAGACAAATCAGACAACACAGGACATATAGACCATGTGCTATGGGCATATATGCAGTATATGGTCTCACTGCCACAAAATGCACACACCACAGAACCTTTCTAGCATGGTATCATCTCCCAGCAAAGCCATCACTCCTTATAACTATGTGGCCCTATCTGAAACTAGAACTTTCTCACATGAAACCTACATCACAGCAAAGGACCAAATCTGCACTGTGCGTCCCAGAAACAAACGCAGAAAGATGAGGCAGTGGTGATGAGGCTGAGGAAAGACATTCAGATGGCTGATGAATCTGGTCAACGTGAACATTAGAGGAACCTCATTCATAACAACCCATAAGCTCATCATACAGAATAACAGGAAGAAACTTGCTGTCTCATTCACAGGCAACTGTGACTAATGAGTTATTTCTCAAACAACACCTGTAATCGTGTCAATAAGAGGAGGCTTGCAGGATCTGATGGAGACCAGGGAGCCCGTGGCCTCTGTCAGAACTCCACACTTCTCACCTGGTTCTGGTTGGAGTGTATGGCTAACACAGAGATCTTCCCTGGTAAACATGTGTGGTGTGTGGGTATGTTTACCAGGGACCTAGTACTAGTCCATTTGTAAGTTTTCATTTATTTCATAGCAGACTGGTTTCCTTATCCATAAAACTTCAATAGAAATGCACAAATCACATGATTCCCAGAAGAGAGGGAAAAAATGAAATCTGTAATAGCAATTAAGGGGGACACGGCTACTTCCCACCTGTTTCCACATGTGCAAAGGATTAACAGTGCATGGGATATTTGAAGAGCACGCATGCGTGTTGCTGTAAGACTAAGTTAATTGCATGAGTACGCATTCAAACTTGTGAATCTGTGATCATGTGTGTTAGCTGCATGAACGGGCATGTGTACTGTTGCTGGTCTTTGATTCTTGGTGGGTTCTTCATTTTCCCAAACTTTATCCCCTGGTTTCACCTCCCATCACTAGATGGGAAAGAAAGAAAGATAGAGAGGAGAGAAATAGAGATCTCTGAATCTTATTTCATTTTTCTTGTTTCTTCTTTGAGTATGGCTACTAACAAACCTAAACCAATCTCCCCAAATGACCACCAACTCCACCTAGCATGGCTCTAGCATTTATATAGAGAGAATTATTCTCCCTCTGAATAATTCCCACAGTTTCAAACATCGCACAATTAAAGAAACTACCCTCAGCTGGCAAAACCACGCCTTTGATAGAGCATGAAGCAAATCAGAGTCAGCTGCTGTGGACAGTCCAAAGCAGCTCCATATCCCCACACCTGGGATTAAAACAAAATCTTACTCTTTTAATAGTATTTCTGTCTTTTGAAAAGAAACCAAAATTTCAGACTTCTTATGACATTTCTCCCTTTCTAATGTTTTAAGCCGTTAATCACACTGTGTGTACGGGGAAATTATAAGCAGAGACATTTTCAGTGAAATAAATGCTTTTCTGGGTCAATAGCCAAGGTTTTCAGGAGACCTCTCCGGCTCTTTCTGCTGGAGCAGCTTTGCCTTTGATGTGGGCAAACAGTAGCTCCTGAGCAATCCTGTCACCTGTGTTAAATTGCATCTCTCTTTTTACATAAGCCACAATTTTAATTTCTCCTTTGAAATCTTCATCTATAATTCCTGGATGAAGAATGAATCCTCAGGGAGCCGATCCCCTCCTTCCCAAGATCATCCCACTCTCCCAAGCAAAGGGGGCCTCATCTCTGAGAATAACATGTTCACATGGATTCTCCTCAAGGTGGGTCCAAGATCTTGCAACATCAACATCAATTTTACTCCAATCTTGAGGGGAAGGCAAGCCTTGGTGGCTCCAATACTTTATTTTGGAGGCTCTCCATTATGACAGACCCGTCACTGCTACACTGGTTACCAGACAGATCCAGATGAGCATTCCTCCGTGAGCATTTTGAGCCTCGGTGTCCCTAGAAGGTGCTTTAGCATCATAGACTTGTGGACTCTCCTTCTGTTCCTGAGGATCCTCTCCCCAGCCTTGGTGGACAGAAGTAAACATACATGTGAGAAGCATGAAAATGAACATGAGGTAGTGTGGATGGATTAGTATGATGTGTGTAAGCTATGTGAATACATATGAAATGCACGTGAGTGGATGTGAGCTGCATGTGCTTGTATGTGAGATTGGGGAGGGGTCTGGCAGAACTGTTGTGTGAGGTATGTATGTATGCTTGTGTATAGCAGGTAAGGATGCTCCGTGAGGGTTAATGTGAGCATGTGAGCTATATGGGCATTGTGAATGGGAAGTTAGTTGTATGTATGTTGTATAAGCACATGTGTGAGCTATGTATGTACTGAGGTAGTGCATGTCTCTTGTGTGTGCATGTGAGCACATGAATGTGTGAGGTGTGTGGCTTAGTCTCAGTATGGTATGTGCATGTCTCTCTCTGTGTGTGTGTGTGTGTGTGTGTGTGTGTGTGTGTGTTAGTCTGTATACAACAGCTCCCGTATCTACTGATGAAATCTTCCAGTGCATTCAGTGGATACCTCAGCCAGGGACAGTGTAGAACCTGGTGCACTTTGTGCTGTGCTTTCTTCCTACCACAGATCTTAGCAATCTCAGCGTATGATATTTTCTTTCCTTATTAAATTAAAAACTTTCAGCTCTCACTTGAAAGAAGCATTTTTACAGCTTTTCTTTCACATATCTAAATTGCTAACATTGTGGGTTTGGGGACACTTATTAAGTTAAATAAGGCTAACCCTGAATGCAAATACTAGATACGAGCTGTGACAGCTAAGTGGCTGACAGAGTGTAGCATATACAGCTTGGATACACTGGACAGAGGGCAGTTCAAGGGGGGATAGAACGGAAGATCATCACATTTCCCCAGTGTGTAAATTTTAAAGTTGCAAATTGTTTTTACTTCTGGAACTTTCAACTTAACATTTCCGGTCTGCAACTGACCATAGATAACAAACCACAGAAAAGGAGACCACAGACACGCATATGTGAACCGGTAACAAGTCTGCAAGTTTGTATCACTTTGACAAAGCCAGAGGATTCCACACAGACGTCAAGCAGGGGAAAGACCACAGGCCGTAGACTGGCTGGCTAGATTCTGGGGAGGAGAAGAGAGTGATCACAGGTGGAGCCCCATAACTAGCTGACACAAGTCCTTGTGTGGAGAACAGTTGACATGGATGCTTCTGAGTATCTTCTGTGGTTTGATGAAAGGAGCCATCCTCATAGGACTGAGGAAGAGATAGTGGAGGCCTTGTTGAGAGAGATGAGCTGGTTGGATGGATTCAGACCACTAGGTACAAGGCAGTAGATATTAATCTGGACTGCCTGAGGTGACAGCTTCAGCTCAGGAGGGTAAGAATGGAGGTCAAAAGAGAATTCTGACCATAGTTGGACAGAAGGTGATGATCTTTCATGTCACCCAGAGAAATGAGTCACTTTCTCAGTGAGGTTAGGCACACCATACTAGTCACAAGTCTTTTGAAATGGCAATGTTTAATTTTGAAATTAAAATAATGCTAAGAAATGATCTTTCTTTAAAGATTTATGCTTTAAATATGCAGGAGCCACTGGTGATGAGGACAGGGAAATGGGTGTCCGGGCATACAATTTGGGACAATCGAAAGTGAAAAATATTTTTTAAATATTACATTAGAATTCTGAGGGTAAATCTAGACAGGGACTTTTTAGAAAGGACTGAGCAATGTTGAATAAGAATGTTACTTGCTATAGGTCATAGTGGACTGCTCTTAAGATGTCCTCCAGCACTCTAAGGTGCCCGTGGGACCCTGTGTTAATGTGAACCACACCTCCAGAATCACCACAAGTCATGTTGTATCCTTAGAAAAATGCTGATGGACTTTTAAATTTATCACTCAGACCACTATTATATCAATTAATTGTGCGTGAATTCTTACAGAGTTCTGAATTACTGTCACTAAATTTTTCAGAGTGACAGCTAAGCCTGAGACCTTACCATATATGTCAGGGAAACACTTAGCTGCCCACCACCACCAAATTTTTATTCTCATTCAATCCAAATATTTGTAAACTTACCTGCAATATAATATCAGAAACAACCACGTTATAGTGATTCCTTCTTTGTAGACCCCAATGGGAAGGCAAGATAGCTTGACTGTGGCTGTTCATTCATTCAATTGAAGCCTATTTCCTTATATTAAAATACACGTATTCATTTCTCTTAAAGAATATGTGAGCAGTGCATTGCAGAATTACATAACTATGCAAGAAACATTTACCTCGATTGCTGTTCTACACTTAATTCCAAAGCGAGCAATTCAAGGGAGAAGCTGTTTCCAAACAATTATAATAGACTTGTGATCCATACCTGACAAAACACAAGAAAGAGAGCTTACTGTGTGTGTGTGTGTGTGTGTGTGTGTGTGTGAGAGAGAGAGAGAGAGAGAGAGAGAGAGAGAGAGAGAGAGAGAGAG